AACGCTGGTTGTAACTTTGAAAAAATGGAACGATTTTGTTGATTTTTTAGCATATTAAAGATCGTTTTTCGTAGATTGATCTGATTTTTCTAAATTTTGTATGAGATTTAGTTTTCTATGATATACAGGGTATGAAAAAAAGGAATGTAATTTTCGTAAATTTTTGTTGCTGCCATTTTGGCAAAAAAAAAATAACTAGAATTATAAGTTCTTGGTATAGCTAAGACCAATATCTCGGAACGTATTTGGAATTTGTACGATAACTCATCTGGAATAAAAGATAATCAATTTTGACTCTAACTTGTATTTTTTCTACCTTTCTTAAGAGATATGCTAACAAAACTGAAATTAACTTTAAAATTGTAGGATATTCCTTACTTTTACAATGTGAAATTAAAAAAAAATGATTTAACTAACGCAGTTTAATTTTTTTAATATTCTGAACTTAACAGCCCATAAGGTTAAAATAAAAGCTCGACACGTATTTGATATTTTTGTAAAAACTTTTTGGTGTCTAAAAATCTGTACCTAGTTTAGCTGCAACTTAAAGTACTTAAAAACAATTAAAAAACAACATTATAAAATTAATTTCAGTTTTGTTAGCATATCTCTTAAGAAAGGTAGAAAAAATGCAAGTTAGAGTAAAAATGTATTATCTTTTATTCCAGATGAGTTATCGTAAAAATTCCAAATACGTCCCGAGATATTAGTCTTAGCTATACCCAGAACTTATAATTCTAGTTAAATTTTGTTTTTGCCAAAATGACAGCAACACAAAAATTACAAAAATTACATTCCTTTTTTTCATACCCTGTATATCATAGAAAACTCAATCTCATACAAAATTTAGGAAAATCGGATCAATCTGCGAAAAACGATCTTTAATATGCTAAAAAATCAACAAAATCGGTCCGTTTTTTTCAAAGGTACAACTCGTTGAAAATGAGTAAAAAAATCGCTGTGGTATTTAATTTGACGGGCAGTTTACATTTCTGGTATGCTTTTGCCACGTGATTAATACTCTCCAATAGAAAGTCATTCGAGATGGACATCGAAAGATGGTGTTTGGCGGGATTGACTGCATAAGCCCGAGCAGCCATACATTTTTATATGATTTTTGTCGCGTTCCATTGTTTTGAATATGTATATGAATGAAGAGATACAGACCAAAATTGTGGAGCAGAATCGCAGATCTGCAGGTAAAAAAATGGTACAAATTGTATCTTTCTCGAATTTATCTGCAGTGAAGTACCAAAGGCAAATTTTTTGTCAAACAACACCAAGAAAAGCAACTTCATTCGTGCGCTCGGAAAAGTATTGTTGGAAAATGGAATCAATGTTAAATTCGCTGATGGTGATGCCGATACTCTTATTGTAACTACAGCGGTCGCAATAAGTGACAATTTACCAGAAGGGACCGTAGCAGTAGTTAGCGAAGATACGGACATTATAGTGTTACTGATTTATTATTGCCACAAGAGACTGTTTATGATTCGTCCGGGAAAGGTGTCAAAACCAAATAAAATAATCGACATATCGGCCTTATAACAAAAGTTGGGGGATCTGAAGAATGTGATTCTTAGTGTCCACGCTATATCTGGTTGTGACACAACATCTGCTGTCTTCAATAAAGGAAAGATTAATTTAGTGAACACCATCCAGAAGAAAAAGTTATCTGAGCTATTAAAAGAATTTTATAATCCCGAGGCTACAAAGGAGAAGTTAGAAGAAGTTACATCTCAGTTTTTTATAGCAGCATATGTTAAAAACTCGACAAAAAAGTAGATTTGGATAGTGCCAGATACATGCTTTATCAACAGTACGTAGCTAAACGAAGTCTTAATACCAACTTGGCATCATTACCACCTACCTCCAATAGTGTGAAATATCATGGACTTAGAGTTTTTTTCATCAGGTAAGTTAAATTTATGTTGCATTCAAATGTTAAACTAAATTCTCATTTTTAACTTACAGGTACAGGCTTGGTTAAATAACAATTTACCAAGATTGGGGTTGGAATCTGAAAAATCGAGAGATGCGAATCCAATAGGTACATTCAAACCAGCCCATTGCTCTTACATGGGTTTTAGAGAAAATTTTTGCAATTGCTCTTCGGGAGGCTGTAAAAAACATGTACATGCAAGCGAATGGGACTCACCTGCACTATGGCATGTGGTCAATGCAATGGCATTACATGTATGAACCCAACAAATGTGGAAGTGAATGATGAATATCCTTAAGATAAGTTATTCTATTTTCGAGCTAAGGTTTTTCTTATTTTGTTATTAAACATGTAGATTTTTCAATATACCTATTTCATGGGAAATTATTGTAAAACTGCAATTTTCCTTATTCAATGTTTTTAAAATGTAAAAAACGCACATTTAAAAAAATTATCTCCGCCACTGGTAACTTACCTTTATTAAAAAGATCGTTTTTATAGGAACTTGTATCCTAATAAATTTTTTGGTCTCGAGATTTATCTCAAAAATGCTTTCATTTGAAGTTAAACACAGAATGGTGGGTTATTAAAACAATCCTCCTAAATTAAAGAATTCTAACCTGCGCCACTGAAATTCTAAAATTGCTTCTTTGCCTATGTGGTAGGAAATTTTCTTCTCTTCAATTTTTTACTCGTGACTTTTTTTCCTAGAATTCGTAGTTTTAGAGTTATTGAAGAAAAAGTAAAAAATGGGCCATTTTTACCCCTTGTAGGGGTGGTTTTAGGGTGACGGGCTCAACGGTTCATCGCTGGGATTTCAGGATGTTTAAAGATCTACAAAATTAAGCTCCATGCCAAATTTCAGCTTGTCTCTAATTTGTTGAACCTCGGCCTGTATAGGCTCTGGGCTAATAGTATAATGGTATCATAGATAAATGAAACAAGTTTAGATTGGAAAGTGCCCATAAAGACAATGTAAACACTATTTGGCGCTATTCTTGCAACGGTCGCGACCCAAAACTTTTGAAAATTTCGGAGCGGTTCGGCTTTTTTCGGAATTATATCGCCAAATATTGTTTATTCAAATTTATTATTATTTTCGTTTAATTTTATAAATAAAAGACAGTGTGTTGCATACATGAAACTTTATTTTATATAAGGACGCATGTATGAAATACCTATGAAACATTGGAAACCGACGCGACGTTATGCCACGATCCACGATGGTTTTTGCAGTTCACAGTTCACAGCACAGCTTTTTAAGTTTTTAATGCCACTTTTTCACAATTATTACCGGTTGAAGTAAATAAAACTTGAATTAAACTCACAAGATAGCAATAATTACTTTGAAAATGGACGCTATAAACACTTTTCGGAATTTCTTTAATGAGAGCGGTTTAGATTTTGAAAGATTATTATAATTTTTGAAGATTCTGACTTTGACAAGAGAAAATTATTTCTGTTTTTGTTTGCCGTTGTTCTTAGCGACCGCTATAGCAGCACCAGATCGCGTATAACGGTCGCGACCCAAAATAATTTCGCGACCTAAAATTTTTACGGGCTTTCCTATCTAAACTTGTTGCATTTATCTATGAATGGTATTTATTGTGAATGACAGTTGTTTGTGACAAAAAGGAGAATTGTATTTTATAGGTAATGTGTTGTTTTAGTAGTTGTTTACAATACAGGGTCCGGCAATAGTGCGTCGCACATCTGTAGTTCCTAGAATAACAAATTTGAGAATTTTGTTTAAGTGCAGACCTAAAGTATGTACCAGGATGTATTTCCGGAAAATATTTTAACTTCTATAGGGTGGCTCAAAAAAGTGTGAGTGGATCTGGATGATTTTTTTTAAATGGAACATCCTGTATATTATTGCATTTTTAGCTTCTTTTCAGATCACTTTACATAACCCCAAGATATAAATAAATATATTTCGATAGTTTCAGAGATATTCAAAAATAAATCAAAAATATATATTTTTCAGCCCTTTTTAAAAAAGTTATTAAAAATACAGGAACTGTTCTGAAATCAAAACTATATTAGGTATTTACTTTAGATGGTCTGTACTTACTATGATATAAATATGAAAATCGTAAATCATACAGGATGTTGAAAATTCTACGCCAAACTTTCTAAAATATAAAATAATTTTTCTTCGTTTTTTTAAATGGAACGCCCTGTATATAATTTTTTCAGTAGACGGAGAATTAAAAAATGAACATTTTTTGTATTTAGAGTATTTGAAAATTTTTAACGGTTTCGCAGATATTTGCGGTTTTATATTTCATTTGGCATTTTCCACAGTAAATTTTTAACAAAGCCACCAAATGATTTTTCTCTCGTATTTTACCATTGAAAGCGCCATATGAAATAATACTGCGTGTATCCGGAAAAATATTAAAAATTTTGAAATACTTTAAATACAAAAAATGTTCATTTTTTAATTCTCCATCTAATAAAAAAATAATATACAGGGTGTTCCATTTAAAAAAACAAAGAAAAATTATTTTACATATTACAAAGTTTGGCTTAGAATATGGAACATCCTGTATGATTTACGATTTTCATATTTATAGCAAAGTAAGTACAGACCATCTAAAGTAAATACCTAAAATAGTTTTGATTTCAGAACAGTTCCTGCATTTTTAATAATGTTTTTAAGAAGGGCTGAAAAATATATATTTTTGATTTATTTTTGAATATCTCTGAAACTATCGAAATATATTTATTCATATCTTAGGGTTGTGTAAAGTGATCTGAAAGGAAGCCAAAAATGCAATAATATACAGGGTCTTCAATTTAAAAAAAATCAACTAGGTCCACTCACACTTTTTTGAGCCACCATATAGAAGTTAAAACATTTTCCTGAAATACATCCTGGTACATACTTTAGGTCTGCACTTAAACAAAATTCTCAAGTTTTTTATTCTAGGAACTACAGATGCCCGACGCACTATTGCCGGACCCTGTATAATCAAATGTTAATATTAATTTAGTAGCAATATGGCAGAACTAAAGTTTTTCTTTAAAAGGAATGAAAACGATGCCAGGCCGTGATGGAAATGATGCCGTTAAAAGTGTGGAACTTACTAGAGCTCGTACCAATATAAAAGGTAAAAATATATATTGTTGAACATTACAGTAAATTCTACAATAATTTTAAAATGTGTATCTTAACCTCCCTATAACTTTTGTATTTAACATTTAAGCAACAAGTGAGATAATGGACTTTACTCTATAGTTGACTCACCCTGTACAGAACAGAAATTTGTACAGGATGGAAAATTTAATGTGTTACGCAACTACAATATTTTTTCGCTAAAGGAGTGATTGACTTTCGAGTCTTTCGAGTTATTTAAGAACCCCACTTTTTAAATTCAACATAACGCGGTCTTATCATCTATAGTGGAGTTAGGAACCTAAAAGATACTGTTTTTTGCAATTATACGATTTAGAAAACCTGCAAATCCTTTATACTCCGTATAGAAAAATTTGTCTGTTTCAGGTTAACTCCAGTTTTAAGATGGAGAAAAGTATGTCATATATTTAACTAAACGTTGCTTTTCCTTTTTTTAGAATCTCTGTGACCTTTGAAGGAATCTAGTACAGGGAGATCAACTCCAGAACATTACAAAAACCATTGGTCACCAGGGTTCGGAAGTAGTTAATTAAGACGTAATTTATCTGATTAACTACGTATAGTTTTTCTTCGAAAACTACGTCTTTTCCAGTTCATTAACTACTTGAAAACTACGTTAATAAACTACCTATTAATATTATGCATAATTTAGCTTTGTATGAAGAATCTACATAATATGATGTGAATGGTTATAATATAAAGCCATATTTCTTCGATTTTCTTAAATACATTATGTTTTCTAAAGCTTCAACTTATTATAACCTCACCTCAAACCTTTGATATTTGAAAGTTACATACATATGTTACATAAACTACACCCTCTACATAAACTACATTAACTACATGTAATGTAGTTTATGTAGTTTTTAAAAGTAACATGTAGTTTTCCGAACCCTGTTGGTCACTAGACAAAATTCACCGGGATACCCTTGTATCTATTATTTTTTATTTTGGAAGATATTCAATACAATTGTATTTACCTACTTATCACCAAAAGATTAATTCCGAAATAAAGTTATTTTAATAATAAATTTGATATTTATTTCATTTAAATTGTTAGTACTGATCCTATTCGATTAAAATCGACTCAAGCTTTAAACAAAGTGACATATTAATAAATAATTAAGAATTGCACTTCAAAATATAAAGGAAAGACTTGAAATAAAAAGAATGTATTTGAAAAACAAAAGGAAAACACTAATAAACAAATCTACAAGGTGACGCACCTCATTCGCCTCGGTTGATTATACGAAAACGGAAAGATGTAGAAACAAAGTATTTGATGGGTATATGGTGGGAGGCAATGCGCACAATTAAAATTATTTTCATATGTACAGGGTGTGTCAGAACTAAGATCCATACCAAAGTTATATTTTTTCTTATGGAACACCCGGTATTTTATTTAATTTTTGGATTCTTGGGCCCAAAAAAAGGTATTTATTGTAAGGGTTAAATATGTTTAATATCTTTGGTTTTTGAGATATTTAAGGATATTTAAATTTGCAAGCTACAATAAAATAGATTATTAACACCCTGTACATTACTTATCAGAATTGATTCTTGTGCTGAGTTTAAAGGTAGAGAAATAAACTTTACTGAAATATGTTATTGTTTCCTTAAATTTATACAGGGGTATCAAAAATTGCTGACCTATTTTATAGATTTATTTTACATAAAAACTTCGTTATTTCAAATACAACACCCTGCATTTTTTTAAATCAATCGAAGCAGATTCAAATGCTCCTTCAAACTATATTAGGGTTTCCTATACCTATCTAGCTCAGATTTTGAATAAAGAGCAATTTTTCAATAAAATTGCAACTAAGAGGGCTAGTGTCGTCATGACAAGTTTCTAGTGACAGTTAGTATGTTCAAAATCGAAATTACTTAAATTTATACCAGTTTATTTATATTTAATTTACCTACAATAGCTTAATAAATAATATTTATTAAATATGTATTTATTATTCTATTAAGAAAAACGAAGAAGTAGTTCTTTGATTTATTTTTCGATGCCTTGTAGATATATGGATTTTCTATAAAAGAGCCAATTACGGCAAATTCATTTTCTTCACTTCCAATGATAGGCTGCCTAATAGGTTTTTTATAAACCACACTACCAGCTCTGCGAAATAGAACAAGTAGTTTTTCAAAGGAACGCTTATCAGGAAGATTCCTATTTGGATATTTTTGAGCATAAGCCCTCGAGGCCAAGAAGCAATTTTCCTCACAAAATAAAATCACTAGTAACATATCCATTCGTTCCGGCAGCAGATACCTACTGCTTTATTTTTCTTTATAAAATAATGAATACTTACTTATTAAATTATTATAGGCAAATCTTAGTAAACTGTTATAAATTATAAATAATAATGTCTATAAGTTAATGTTGACTTTGAAAATAGGTACTAACTGTCACTAGAAAATTGTCATGGCAACACCAGCCATCTTGATTGCAATTCTATTTAAAAATCGCTTTTTATTCAAAATCTGAGCTAGATAGGTATAGGAAACCCTAATATAGTTTTAAAGAGCATTTGAATCTGCTTCGATTTATTTAAAAAAATACAGAATGTTGCATTTAAAATAACGAAGTTTTTATATAAAATACATTTTTACAATAGATCAGCAATTTTTGATACCCCTGTCTAAATTTAAGGAAGGAATACCATTTTTCAGTAAAGTTTATTTCTCTACCTTTAAACTCAGCACAAGAATTAATTCTGAAAAGTAATGTACAGGCAGTTAATAATATATTCTATTGTAGCTTGCAAATTTAAATATCTTTAAATATCTCAAAAACCAAAGATTTTAAACATATTTAACCCTTATAATAAATGCCTTTTTTTGGGCCCAAGAATCCAAAAATGAAATAAAATACCGGGTGTTCCATAAGAAAAAAATATAACTTTGGTATGGATCTTAGTTCTGACACACCCTGTACATATCAAAATAATTTTAAATTGTGCATATTGCCTCCCAACATATACTCATAAAAATGTTGTTTCTACATCTTTCCGTTTTCGTATAATCAACCGAGGCGAATGAGGTGCGCCACCCTGTATACTTCTTTAAATCAAATATAGGCAGCATTTTTATTTTAAATCTGATATACCACTAATAATGACAATGATCATGAATGTATTATATGTTTGAGTATATGCATAAAATCAACAGATGTCTTATTAAGTCAATTATGACCATTAATGAGGCCAAAATATGTTTGATTTTATTTGATTCGTTAGTATTTTTTTTTGATTTTACGTTAAGTAGGGAACGTTATAATGACAATCGAACAGTATTTGATAGAACTGAGCTTACATCTCCACGTACGAATAAAAATTATTTTCAGTTCAATTTCCTCATTGAAAGGGAACGACGACCGCGTTGGAAAATCCATTATCTTGCTTTTTGTCCAATCTATGAGCATGTTTGAACTAGAGGCAAAAGCATATATCAATTATTTAGCGAAAGGCACAATTCATGTATGCGAATGATATATTGCTGGTTTTGATTGACAAATTACGACGTACACAAAATTAAGCTTTTTCTCCCGAAAATGTTCCGTTTTGAATAAGAAAAATCATATACCACTCAGGCAAAAAATATTCGGAAGAAAACCTAATTGGAAAACACGGAGATATCCACCAATATACAAAAAAAATTAGGTTGCCATATATCTTTAAAAAGAACCGAAGATCGTGTATGATTGTTATGTAATAATTATAGTGGTTTTTCAAGATTCAATTGTCACAACAGTTGTTTATTTATAACATCGTTAATTTCGAAAATATTGAGATGACCTTCCTAATAAAAAAAAAATATTTCTTTAAATCCAAAACAAAAAGTTTTGAGACACTCTGTATACATAAATACTGATTTTTAAAATATTTATGCGCAAGCTAGAGAGGGGGAGATCAGAATGAATAGAGATGATAGGTGTTAGGTAATAGGCTTTTAGACTACCGTTCGAGACTTCGTAAGTTTTGGCCATTGCTACAAAGAATGTTACTCAATGTAAAGCCAAATAATATTTCCTAATTATTTAACTAATGTTAACTAAAGCATATATTTTATTTTTCTGTTCTAATATTCCGTGCCTTTCCTTATTTATTTGATCTGAGAATTATATTTTTATATTTTATAACATGTGTATTATGTATTTAATGGATTTGATTTATAGCTGTGAATAATATACAGCTATATATATATATATATATATATATATATATATATATATATATATATATATATATATATATATATATATATATATATATATATATATATATATATATATATATATATATATATATATATATATATATATATATATATATATATATATATATATATATATATATATATATATATATATATATATATATATATATATATATATTTTCTTGTTAGGTCTGATGAAGCTCGTATATGAGCGAAACACGTGTAACAGTTTAACATTGTATAAACGTTGAGACCGAGACTTTGAGTCTTTTTTCTACTTTTTTAATTTGAACCAGGTCTCTCCAGGTCACCAGGAGAAAAATGGATGCCTTCTTTAAATAATATACCGGGTGTCCCGGAAATAAGTGCAAGTATTTTAAGCAAGTGGTAGATCTGGTCAAAAGAAACATTTTTTCTCTTTACCAAATTTCAATTAAGTCCAAAATAACCGAGTTAAATTACATTTGAAAATTTAAACAAAAAAGGTTTATCTACTACCTAAAGAATTTAATCTACTACCTATGTTGCCATATTATCAAGAAATTATGTTTTTTAACTTAAAACTAAAAGAAATTTCAAATTTTTTTTTCGAAAGATTCCAAATTTGCAATATTTTTTTTTCACTAAAAACCCTCATAGATGTGTTTTTAAGGCCGAAATATACTACCAGTTAAAATACTTGCACTCATTTCTGGGACACCCTGTATATCGGTATAGAATGTTCAACCATCATCCAACGTCATGTCATGT